GCCCATGGCGAAGCAGAGGGAGAAGTGGACGATGGCTTTTTTACAGAGCTGAGCTCTTCTCTTTGGTCTCTCTGTGGATCCCATTCTTTGAGAGGACGAAAGTTTGGGGCGGAATTTGGTGATGGAAGAAGAATTGGAATTTATGATGAAATTTGATTGTGTTTTTGCATGGAGGAGGAGGAGGAAATGGTTTGATTTTGGCGGTTTCTTGAAGTAAAAGGAAGAAGTGAAAGAGGGGTTATGTTGTACCAAATTTTTGGTTGGGATGGAACCCATCAGCTAAAAAATATTATTGAGGTTAGGATTCAGGCCTTTTTCTTCATGTTGGAAAATTTTTGAAGATTCACTCTTCAATGGGAAACTAAGCATAATTTCTACTCAATTACATGAAATAGTTTGTCGTTATAGGTAGGCTCGGGATCTGCCACGTGTACCACTCAATACTCGTTTAGAAATATATAGTTGGACCTTAGCTCGGGATGAAGTAAGCTTGACAGAGTTACTTACTGTCGTCCCGAAGGTAGACTAACTAAATGTCGACGTGGAAATGAGATGATACCTTAGCGAGAATATCGTTGACATAGTACAATGGAAGGTGGCAGGTGATGGCGTAAAATACTAGATATATGTGTGATAAAAGGGGAATCCTACATTTTCATTGGCTCGCAAGCCATATATAACTTACTGAGCTCGACGAAGATTTTTTTTTAGTACAACATATTGAGATAGGGATCGAACTCACGATCTCTTGATTGAAAATATATGTCAATTATCGCTGAGCTATGCTTGTTTTGACTTTTTTCTTAGAATTGGTTTGAATATTTCTACGGTTGTTGTGTCCAATGTATTTTGTATCTAAAATATTAAATCTTCTACTAGGTCATAGACAAATTTTTATTTTAGTTACGAGGAACAATTCATTTTACAATTTATTCAAGAGCTGAAAGTTTAAAAATTAAAATCAACCCCTTCATTTAAAATATTATATCACAAATATGACAATAAAAATTCAATCTTATAATTAAAGACAAAAATAATTTTTTTTAGCAGATAGAAATTCTAACTTACGATTATCAATTGTGTTTTGTTGGAGAAAAATAAGATTTTTTTTTCTTTTGAGAATTTTCGAAAAATAAGATTCCTTAACTTAAGTAATTTTGATTTTTTGGTCTTCTCAAAATTTTGAGGATTTTAGAGGCATAACCTTGGAATACCCAAATTATACATTTTCGTTATTCAATAATAATAATAATATATTTCTAAAAGAATAATAATAATAATACATTTTCGTAAATTAGGTAAATTTTTGAATTATTTATAATAATTCTCCCTGCAACTACCCAGACCACTGTTAAAAAAACCACCATGCCGTCCCGTTTGAACCAAAGAGAAGGAAGATGAAGGAAGCTCGAACCTCCAATGGAGTCCCCCTCTTCCGCACAGTTTTAATTCCTTTACCTTTGCCTGAGCTCATTGCCTGTTCAAAACCGCAAGGATTTAGATATTCCCCAACTGAAGGCGCTGTTCTTTCTTCTTCTTCTTCTTCTTCTTCTTCTGCAGGACTTGTCTTTCGACAATGTCTTTTTTTCCTTTTTTCTAGATTCCGATTTCTTGCTCCTTGTTTTCCCCTTTTGATATCTATGTCGGCGATGCAATTTTTCGAWTTTTTGGGTTATGCGACTTGAAGTGTGCCTGTTATCGATGTGGCGATGGAAACTCCAAATGTTTCTCCTTGAGGTAAGGTTTTCTGGACTCTGAATGCTGTTCTTGATAGTTCGCTCCAAAATAGTTTTGGAATTTATTGAAGTATTTATGATGGTTCTGTATTTTTATGAATGTTGAAATGTTGGTGTACGCTTGGTGCTCGAAGAATGTCCGCTAAGAGAATTAGTGCGGAGAACTGGAGCTGTACACATTTGGCGCACAAGCTATTTTCTAATGTGAAACATGAACGTGAAATTTCTAGTTTCACTACACAGATTTGGATGCCTGGTTTAGGCACTGCCCCATTTACGATTTCATGTGGAAGTTTATTCTTGCAGTTTCAGGGGTTGGATAAACTGAAAAGCAGCTGAAGGTTTTTCTCTCTATATTTATGCACCATTCATTTATAAACCTCATGTACCTTAAATTCATTTATAAACCTCTGCAGTGTGTTTAAGAATGGCATTTATAAGAACCTTAAATTCTATATATTTTGTAACTTTATCATCAGAAGCCATTATTTTCTTTACCCCTCGTAGTTTAGCAAACCCCATAAATATCTTCAAACCTCGACTGCAATTTGCATTCTCTCATATTCGGCCTAATACCCAGATTGCTTTTTCCCCCTGCCCTGCTCCTGAACAATCATATGATGATTATATAATCTCTCTCTGCAAGAAAAATTTTCCCAGAGAAGCTCTTCAAGCTTTTGACATCTTTCGAAAGTGTACCAGTTTTCCATTGAAGTCTATTACTTATAGCCATTTGATCAATGCTTGCTCTTATCTGAGATCCCTAGAGCATGGCAGGAGAATTCATGGCCATATGTTGGCATTCAACTACCAGCCTGACTTGATACTTCAGAATCATATTCTTAATATGTATGGGAAGTGTGGGTCTTTGAAAGAAGCAAGAAATGTTTTTGATGCAATGCCCCAAAGGAATGTAGTATCTTGGACATCCCTGATATCTGGGTACTCACATTACGGTCAAGAGGACAATGCCATTACATTGTATGTTCAAATGCTACAATCAGGATATGTTCCCGACCACTTTACCTTTGGAAGTGTTATAAAATCTTGCTCAGGACTTGACGATTTTATGTTAGCAAGGCAACTACATGCCCATGTTCTGAAGTCTGAATTTGGCGGTCACCTAATTTCTCAGAATGCTCTTATCTCAATGTATACCAAGTTCTCTCAAATTTCTGATGCAATAAACGTCTTCACTCGTATTATGGCAAAGGATTTAATTTCGTGGGGGTCAATGATTGCAGGGTTTTCCCAGCTTGGTTATGAGCTTGAAGCTTTACACCATTTTAGGGAAATGCTTTCTGGACATGTCTATCAGCCAAATCAGTTTATCTTTGGTAGTGCCTTTAGTGCTTGTAGCAAGCTCTTAGAACCAAATTATGGACGCCAGATACATAGCTTATGTATGAAATTTGGGTTAGGAAGTGATCTTTTTGCTGGATGCTCCCTCTGTGACATGTATGCAAAGTGTGGTTTGTTAGAATCTGCAAGAACAGTGTTTTATCAGATAGAAAAACCTGATTTGGTATCTTGGAATGCTATAATTGCAGGATTTGCTAGTGCTGGTGATGCAAAGGAATCCATGTCATTATTTTCTCAGATGAGGCATACAGGACTTGCTGCTAATGATGTCACTGTCCTCTCTTTACTTTGTGCTTGTTCAGAACCTGTGATGCTTTGTCAGGGAATGCAGGTTCATTCCTACATTATCAAAATGGGCTTTTATTTAGAGATTCATGTGTGCAACTGTTTACTCAACATGTATTCAAAATGCTCAAATCTGAATGATGCACTTGGAGTATTTGAAGATATTGAAAACAAAGCTGATATAGTTTCTTGGAACACTGTGCTTACGGCGTGTCTCCAGCAGAACCAAGCTGGAGAGGTTCTAAGATTGACAAAGCAAATGCTTGTTTCTAGTATTAAGCCTGACCATGTTACTGTAACTAATGTATTGGTGTCATCTGGACAGGTAGCATCTTATGAGGTGGGAAGTCAAGTCCATTGCTTTATCATAAAATCAGGACTGAATCTCGATACTTCTGTTTCGAATGCGTTAATTAATATGTATACGAAGTGTGGATCCCTTGGAAGTGCTCAAAAGATGTTTGATTCAATAGACAATCCTGATATCATTTCGTGGAGTAGCTTGATTGTCGGATATGCTCAGGCTGGAAGCGGAGACAAAGCTTTCAAGCTTTTCAGAACCATGAGAGGTCTGGGCGTAAAGCCAAATGAAATTACATTTGTAGTAATCCTTACTGCTTGTAGTCATATTGGAATGGTAGAAGAAGGTTTGAAGTTATACAGGACAATGCAGGAGGAAGATGGCATTTCACCAACCAGAGAACACTGTTCGTGTATGGTAGACTTGCTCGCCCGTGCTGGATGCTTAGATGGGGCAGAGGAGTTCATCAAGCAAATGCCTTTCGATCCCGACATTGTGGTCTGGAAGACACTGTTAGCAGCATGTAAAATCCATGGTAATCTCGAGATTGGCAGAAGGGCTGCAGAGAATGTGCTAAAAATCGATCCATCCAACTCAGCCGCGCTCGTAATGCTCTGTAACATACATGCTTCTTCTGGCCATTGGAAAGACTTCGCGCTACTGAGGAGCTCGATGAGACAAATGGATGTCAGCAAAGTTCCAGGTCAGAGCTGGATTGAGATCAAGGATAGAGTTCATGTGTTTTTGGCAGAAGATAGCTTGCATCCTGAGACAGGTAGAATATACACAATGCTAGAGGAGTTGAGGTTGCAAATTTTAGATGATAGTTGTGATCCAATACAGATGGTGTCTTCATTTGGTTACTAAGTAGGAATAGTAATTATTCAAGTAGATTCTTAGATGTAAAATGCATCTTCTGAATTCTAAATTCAAATAATCAGAGTGATTTAAGAGACGAAAAATGGTTATTTATGCTTCAAAAGTATGCTTTGATTAAATTACCATTTTAGTGTTGAACAGTTTGGATTTAGTTTAAATTTTTATTCCGATACAAAATGGTTATTTTAAGTTTAAATACGGTCATTTTGGTAAAATATTTATTTTAGTCTTTGTAATTTTAATTTTTTTTTTGTTGATTTTAATCTCACTATTAAAATGCTATTTTATTTCATGTATTTTGGCAAAGTGATCATTTTGATTTTTATTTGTAAAATTTTAATATAAATGGTTAATATACAATAGTAATTCTTTAATACAAATTTATTGTTTCATTTTAAGAAATTTAGTGGGTAGAACATCATAATAAAATTTAAAAAAAAATGGAATTGAATCGACTGATCACTTTTAAAAAGTACATGAAATAAAAATATATTTACATGAACCAAAACGTGGACGTTTTGCTAAAATACAGAAACCAATAGTATTTAAACCGTACATTTAACAACTAAAAATTTTGGACTACAATGAAATTAAAATTTTAAAATTTCAGAAATTAAAATAAAGTAATCTCGAAATATTAAATCTTTTAATAATATCAATGAAATATTCAACTTGACCATGTACAAATGATCAAATTCTTTTCACACTGCTACATTGCACCTCACATTTTAGGAGACAAAATTTGATACAAATCAACACATTTTCACATTACTGGTCAAAAACTTCCTAAAGGAAACACTTTTTGTTCCAAGGTTTTGTATGAAACAGATTAGAAAGGTAGCAACTAAATTTAAGCTTCATCATCATCCTTCGGTTTGGTTGAGATCGAATCTCTTTTAGGCCTGTGTTTTTTCCACCTCTTTTTTCGCAACCTGCTGATCCAAGATGGAACCTCACAGCCCGACGCTGCCATCACATTGGCTATATTTCGCAGAAATGGGATGTCGTCCTCTGTATAAAAAGTAATGGCTTCTCCACTCCGCCCCGCTCTGCCAGAACGGCCTGTATGAGAAAATAGAACTCGGTATCAGCCGTCGTATCGAGCGTGAATCTTTCGATTTTATTAAGGATTAAACACAAAAGGCACTGTCGAGTTGTAGAACAAAGAACGCAGCATCGAGCTAAGGAACATACCAATCCGGTGAATGTAGGCAGCTGCAGAATCTGGAAAGTCATAATTGATCACACAATTAACCCCTTTGAAATCCATTCCGCGAGCAATTACGTCGGTGGCAATTAAAACCCAAGACTTCCCAGCTCTAAAGTCATCGACAGCATTTTCTCGCTGCATTCAAGTATGAAGATTAGTCAAAGAATGGAAAATATTGGTAGAACCTATATTTTCAGTAGTTAGTCACTAAACAAACACAGATCCAACAGAATGGAAGAGAAAACCGAAAAACCCATCATGTGTTTTATTTTTCAGTAGGAGCCTAGGACGGGAAGGCCCCAACTAGGAATACAACAGAATCACCATGTTCTTCGCTGTCCGGGTTTTATCTAGACCACTTAAAGCTATTCAGCATAGTCATTGTTCCAGCTTCCTATTTGGAATTACATTTTTTTGTATCTTTTGCATTTTCATCAACTTTTGACTGCAGCAACAGAATATTAATATCTATCTTATCGATTGATGACAAAAAGATTACCTCAATCTGTGACAAGTCAGAATGGATGACATTGACTCTGATATTCTCAAATGCCAGTTCACCATAAAGTTCTTTTGCACGCTCCTTGCTTTGCACAAAGATCAATACTGGTGGATTCAAACTCTGTTAAGTATGAACGCAACGAAAACAATGCATTGTTCAGTAGGATCAAAGCGAAAAATATTGTCAAAACAAAAGATGTCAGAATAAGTATTCTACTTGATACAGAGATGAGAGCAATAAATCATGTATCCAAGAAACAAGTTTATACTATCATCTAGATCAAACAAAGAAAATCCAGGCTGACATTTCATGCAATGAAAAATCACTTCAAAGGATTTCTATTTGTGATAAAAGATAGATTCTTCAATTTCTGCTCAAATAACAAGTTTTGTGTTATAATTTACATGTAACAAACCTCTGAAAAACTTTGACGAAGAGCAAGAAGTTTCCCTTCTTCACTTCCAGCAAAAACCAGTTTTTGCTTGACAGTTTCAGAGGCAGTGTTCCTGATGACATTAAAAAATATGGGAGTTATTTCTTCACTGGAAGAATATCATGTGAATCAATGATATTGGGTTGAGCATGATAGCGGCAGACTTACTTCCTACCAACAATAACCCGAACGGCATCATGCATTACTGAACGAGCAAGGTCCTCAACAAAATCAGGTAAAGTAGCACTAAACAATGAGCGAATTATTGAAGGATTTGAGCATGCTTTTACGATGGAGTCGATCTGTTTCAACAAGCCCAGCTCAAATAGCTTATCAGATTCATCCAAAACAAGGTACTCCACCCTGCAAAATGCCAACCCTGTGTGAGAACTCAGTTATAGCTAGGCTTGTCTTGTATTGACAAAGTGCCGGTACCTCTCATCAACACCTACCTACTGAGATCAACTTTCTTTTTCCGAATAGCAAGCCTTAACCTAAGTGGCGTGGATATGAGTACATCACATGAAAACTTTGAGAAATCAGCATGTCTTAGAACTTCTTTTGTCACCATCTTGATACGAAATTTTTTCCCTTTAGCCAATCTTTTGCACTCCCTCGTTGTCTGAGATGCTAATTCTTGAGTAGGACAAAGTATAGCAGCACGGATGGCTTCCTTTGATGGTTGCTGATAATAAACATGAGATTAGAACATAAACCCCATTCAAGAAATATTAAAAATGGCACTTAAAAGTTCATACCTTAAGTTTCATAAGCATAGGGCACACAAAAGCCAGGGTTTTTCCCGATCCAGTAGGAGCACAAGCAAAGCATTCACGGCCCTAGAAGAAAATATTGATCAGAAAAAACAATTAAAACCAAATAATATATCAAAATAGTCGACCTAAAATGAAAGCATCAGGTTACAACTATATGCTACTTATTCTCAATATATTGAAGCACAACTCCTGAAAGATGAAGTAACTCCACACGAAAGATAGTAATGGAAGATCATACAGATAAGAGGACTGGAATAGCCTGCCTTTGGATTGGTGTTGGCTCTTTAAATCCAAGTTCAACAAGATTGCGTATCAAGTATGAGTCACACTCAAATCTGCAAATAAACGATACTGGTCATCATTTTTCAGTCATAATAATCAGAAACAAGAAGGGGAGCAATAATTTATAAATGACAGAAAATTTTCGTCTGAGTTAAAGAATAAACATGATAACATTAAAAAAAATTGTAGTTTGTCATTAACTTGATTAAGATGATTCTGCTCAAGGTAGATCTTAATAGTCATTGAACGTGCGGATACTGAAAAACCATCCAGCTAGTACGGAATGAACTACCTTGTGCTCAACTCTGCAAAATTCTGAAGTGGAGACGGTACATTGTTCCCAGAAACATGGATATTATACTTCTTCCGAAAAAGTGCATCTCTCTAAGTTCGTCGTCAAAAAAATAAGGAATGAACGTTGAACAGAGACCGTGTGGTATAGAAGTTAAAACGATTATTCACAAAGGAAACAATGAAATACCAAAGAGCAATTAGTACCTCAAGTTTCCTATAAAATTCCTTCTTCTCTTCAGAAGGATCATTTTCAGGCGGATGATTTTCTTCATTCACTGAAGCAGCTGCTTTTGATTTTGAATCCTTAAAGACGCTGAATCCCTCCACTGATTCTAAATAGAGAAGACGAAAAACGACAGTTAGCTCGAAGATTTTCAATCACGCGATTAGCGACAAGCCATGAAAAGCAAACGGAAATGTACCCGTAGCTGCTGATTTTCTCTTCCTCTTCCTCTTCTCCGAAGGCGTTGAGCCCCCATTGACTTCGAAATCACCATTACCGATCGAACTCAGACCTTCCGCTACATTTTCACTTCCTCTTTTTCCCTGTTAGAACGGCACAATTGAATTTCCAATTGACATTTCGCAGAATCCTTCAAATTTCTCAGAAAACGCATTAACAGAGCAGCTAAAAGCGTTTACCTCGAACCTAGAGAAATCTGCGGCAAACCTCTTCTTATCGAAGTGAATGCCGGCGAACAAGAAAGAAGCCCCTTTCTCCATTACAATCTGGGTGTGTCGAATTTCACGCTTTCCGCCAAACTTCCAGAAACCCTAGTACCTGAATTTGGCTATCGATCGTAAATTATCTCCGTTTGATCGTCGGCTTCAAAAACCCTACAAAAACCCTAAAAATTAAAATTTTCCCTCCTTCTCTCTCAACCCCTCCTCTTTCATAGTTCAAACTCTCTCTTTCTTTCTTTCTTTCCTTCTTTTCCTTTTTAATCCTAGTGTGGTTCATGAATTTTCAAAACTTTCGTAAATTATCTAAATTTTTTTCAATGTTTTTAATGCAGGGAACTTCAAAATATTCATTTAATTTATGTACTTTTAAACAAACAAATTATTTGTTTTTAATTATATGATTTTATCCACCAAATTATATGTCAGTCAAAAGGATTAAAACGATCACTTTTTAAAATTTTAAGGACCAAAATAGTATTTGAATTTTTTTCTTTTCTTCCTTTATTTTGTTCTCTATCTTTGTATTTTTGGGTTGCAAGTTGCTCCTGTATCAAAATTAGGGTTCCTATACAAATTCATAAAAATATAATTTTAAATGCATTAACATGAAATCTGCTGTTTTTTTTTAAGCATGAAATGTACTCGTTGTAAAATAGATGTATACTAAATAAATTAATATCATTGTCATAATTTGAGATCTAATTTTACTTAATCAGAATATTATATAAACAAGTATATTTCACGTTTAAAATTTGGCTAGTTTTAAATTTGTTTAGTTAAATACTAGATAACATGATTATTATGAATGAAAGATATAGATTTTTAGAATTTTATATTAGTTTGTTCTCTTCTTTGAAACAAAATAAAATGAAATTTAAGATCTATTTTTCAAAATTTTACCAAAGTAACCATCTTCTCTTTCCAACTTATTTATTTCTCTCAAACATTTTGTTGGTCGTAATAAAATTATATATATGTATTAAAAAAGACAATATATCTGTGGATTTGATAAAATTAAAATCCTATATTTACGAAAACCTATGCATCCACAAATAAAATTCAAATTTTACAGTCTCCAAAAAAAATTCAAAGCTGTAAAAATAATAACAAAATTCCACGAACTTTCAGTTGTGTAACTTTTGTGAAAAAGAACAGTCCAATTGAGATGACAAGGGACTTCAAAATCCCATGTCATTTACACAAACTTTGCAAAGCATTTTCCTCCTAATAAATATTTGTCCCAAATTTTTACAGCTCAATTAAGACAGGTTCTGATCAAATTCGTTAGAAATGTTACAAACCAAAAAGGATGTTACAGAAAGCTCAATTCTATCTTACTCAATGGTGATGATGGGTTCTATGAAGCAGCTGATAGACTCGAGCGAAGAGCACCTGCTGTGGTCCGAGGCATGTAATTGTGGTTGCAAAAACGGTGACCCCAAAGTCTTTTGAATTCTGAACTGTCTACTCACTGAGACCGTAGTCCTCGCCAAAGTACTTATCGACCAGACGATTTGCCATGTTTCTCAAGTCTTCATTTTCGTGAAACTGAAATCTTTCCATCGCTTCGATGCCATCCTCTCGCTCGACCAGCTTCGGGCCCTCCCCATTTGGCATGCCTCTTAATACCTTAGGCCAAACAACAAGAAAATGCATGAACATTATGAATTAGAACAAAATTTCCAGGAAGTCCTCTTGAATATGAGACTATTAGAGGACGTCAATGCATTGGTACTTAAAAGAATAAATAAGAATTACATATAAAAGAGTAGAGCCAGAAACAGTTCTTCAATTCATATATAATCCATATATAATACATATATATGTATATAATCCATCAGTTCTTCAATTCTCAAAAGCTAAGAGGACATATTAGAGGATAAATTTCAAAATCTTAGCTTGTCTGTATAAATTTTTTAAACTAAGACAAACTAAGGCCCTCCTCCTTCCTTCCTCACTCCACCCCTAGTAGTCGGTAGACATTATTGAAGGGCATCGAGAAGGAAAATCAGTCAGGAGAACGAGGTGAATTATAAGATTCAATTAAGCGAAAGAAAGAAAAAATGCTCTCAAGCCCAGAAAAGCCTGCCCGAAACGTGACAAATAAACAAAAAAGGAACGCTGCATATGAAGAATCGATATACTCACCAGCTCTATGAATTGAAATCCTAGCCTTGCAGCCTCTGTATCGGCAGATCTTAGCAAGTCAATGAATCCTGGAAGGCATCCTCTACCAACAAGTGAAACCAAGTTCTCAACAAGCAGCCTCGGTTTTGGTTCTCCATCACTTCCATCGGGCCCAACACACAGATTTCCCAGTACATATGCTACTTCCTTACGCACATCAAATGGTGCCGATGAAAGAAGGTGTATCAACAATGGCACCGCATCACTAGAATATATCAATTGCTTGTGCTCAATGGAACCTGCAGCAATGTTAGACAGCACCCAAGATGCTTCCTACACATTATGATAGGGATTCAAATGATGAACTTAAGAACCCACAAATTATGCAGGGACGTTAAATCTTTTATCGAGTAGTAAAATCTACCTTCTTCAAAACTCTGTGTTCGCTCTTTAAGCATTTTATCAGGACTCCTAATACATTACCTGAAAGCAACAGAATTTTTTATTCCATTCAATTCTCACTAGTCGCTAGGATTATTTCCTCAATCCTCATTTGTGAAATCTGTCTGCCAACTATTATTACCTCTTAGCAAGAGGAAAAGTAAACCACTTGCCTGTAATTTCACGTCCAGGAATGAGAACAGCAGAAATTGTATGTGAATCGACAGCCACAAGGTTACCTAGGCTTCGCAGCACCTAAGTTTAAGATGTCATTTTTCCAATAATCAAAAACCCACAAAGTAATCGATCAAAAACATTTAATCACTACTTTATAGTATATCCAGGTATCAGACAATGTCAATGTGGACACTAGACAATGGATCTGAAAGCAATATCAATTCAACCACAGCTTCAAAATTATGTGCCTGACAGTCAAAATATTTGCAGAAGTGGAAATCGTGAGGAGGCATTTTCCTAGGAGCTGTACCATAAAACCATTTATAAAGCTCAGTCAGGCAGTTAACTTGATCTTGGAAAAGCACTTCATTTCTATGCTAAATAAAACCAAACGGAGAGAAAAATGGATGCAAATTTTTACGTGAAAAAATATAATCAATACAATTGATGACTAACTGGTAATGGTGCTTCACGACTACAAGCATAATTGATCAGGTAAAGAAAAGCTAGAAAAGGGGAGTCGTAGACAACTCAAGTCAAGGTCATTGAAGGAGAAAAAGACATAACATCTTCACTAAAGCACTGCTCGTTTGTATTTGGGACTTCTTGAATGTTCGATTTACCTCTTTTTTTCTTTTATTCGAGTGTAATGCGAGTTTACTCCTATTTTCTTTATTATTGATGGGAATTCTCTCGTTAAGACCTTTTGAATCAATTAAAACCTTAAATTCATATTAGAACCACGATGATTCATATTAAATTCATATTCTTGAATTCTTGTGAATCCATGAATTATCACTTATTCACTGCTTATTCGATGTCGGAAGAAAGGAGGAAAAAAAGGAGACAAAGAAATGCTGGCATCTCATAATAATTCACTGTACATTAGCCCGTACTCAAGACTGAATCTTAGAAATGCAGACATTGTTTGACATTACCGGTATAAGCAATTGCAAACTATTTGATGTTGATAGTCTCTCCACTAGTAGTTGGAGGACGTCACTCTTCACCAATATACTGGTAGCAACATTTGAGAGTGCTGAGAGATACACAATCACCCATGCAACTTCAGTTGCCAACTCATCATCCCTGCACTTTGTAATGTTAAATATAATTAAAACCCTGTCCACCGATACAGTCTTACAAAAATTCCTCTTCAAAATAGCCGCAGTTTTAACATTATAAAAGCAAAGTCTTGAGGACAGGATATTCTCTCGTGAGTTACACAATTATAATGATCACAAGGGAAATTTGCAATGTGCTTACTCTTTTTTCGACCTAGGTTTCTGATAACTATCCTCAAGAAAAGTTGAAGATATAGTATCATTTTGCACAGGAACAACTTAATGAGAAAGAGAGAAAACAAGTCGGGATATAAATGAGGGACATATGTATTATTGTATTGAACCCTTTATGACCAAAACTTATGAAGCCCAAAATAGATTACTACACTTACGCTTTTCTCAAGTGTCTACTAATCGCATCCAACACCCCGTCAACTCTAATGAGTTCTGTAGCAGCCTTGGAATCTGGTCCCTACATGAGAGAATTTAAGAGGTACTCTTTCGTGAATAAAATGTACAAGTCTATCAAATTTTGTGATTTGAGGTGTGTGCAGGATGAAATCATTTAGTTGTGAATAGAAGAAAGCTTGAAATGCTTGTGAGACAGAAAACTCAAACCTTAATTAAGTTGGATAGTGCCCAAGCAGCTGTTTTAACAGATGAACCTTTGTTTGGAAGCAGCATTCTTGCAAGAGGTAGTAAAGCTCCTTGAGATAGCAGAATATTTCTCAGCTCCTTTTCTTCACCAGCAACATTTCCCAATGCCCATGCACACTGCTCCGCAACAAGCAGAGAACTTTTTTCTGCACGTAAAAGTGCAATTAAAATCTGAAACAAAACTAATACAAATGAAGTAAGGACTTCATATGGAATTCTACTGATTAAATTTTGGTGACAACTTGCAGGAATGACATAGATAAGTACATTTGATGTCGCAAATACATCCCAATTTGTATCTTTCCCAAAGGTAATGAGCCAAATTTTTCATAACATCCTACATATTTAATTTTAAAGGAACTGCCTCCACCATTCAAAGTTACACATGCCAGTACAGTGTACAAATAGAATAGTCCATTTATACAGAATGGAAAAGGGGTCCCTCTATTGAATAGAGAGGGATATTTGCATCCTTACCAACTTGCTAAAGTCTACCCGTTGCAGTTAGTCCACTAGTGATCAGATGCATATCACAGTAGAGCTAATGGTCGTACATAATAATGACAACATTACTAGTAACATGTAATTGGAAGAGGAAGAATACAGTGGATCTAATAAAGAGCTTAATTTGAAACCCATAATTTGGATACGAGATATGAAAAAACCTTCATAAGAGGAAGAGAAAATAGAATTTAATAGGTAATATGAACCTCCAAGATGAGCAATAAGCAAGGGTAACGCTGGCAACAAAGATTTGGTTTCTTCAGGCTTCCCTGCTCCAATGTTCGTTAGGCACCAAGCTGCCTCGAGCAACTGCAGTGAATTAATAGACGTGAAGTCTTCAAAAACAATGATTTTTATATGTACAATCCGCTACTTTACAAGGCCCATAAAATATAGATCAGCCACATGTCTAATTATGCATGCAGAATTACCTATATAGATTCAACAGTCATTGATATCTATTCTGTAAGTCAACAATAAGCACCCACAAGCTACAAGAATAAATAACCACTTATTTTATTTCCTTATTTAGCTCGATCTGATTGGCCATAGCCTTGCAAGAAAGTTACACTCTGCATAATGCAGTTAGACTAAGACATTCATAACTTAAACCAATCAAAGTATAATTGCAGACAAGCTATTTTTTACCTGTTCGTCAGGGGAACCAAATGAAAGACACTGCACCAGTAGAGGTACTGCTCCTGCTTCAAGAGCAGCTTCAACTGGAGGGAATTCTGATCTAGACAACAAGCGCCTCAGTTCACGAAGGGCATGAATTCTCTTCTGCATTACACCTTTTCCCCTACAATTTATTAAAACAGCAAGACCTTAAACCACTCGTATCAACTGTTTAATTTACCAATCAAATAAATAACATAATAGTGGAGGATGTTCGTGTGAACACATGAAGTTATTTTGTCACTTACTGCAATATTGTTCACCATAGCGTCAAACCATCTCCCCTTCGCCTAAAACAAAGGGGAAGAAAATGACGTCCAAGGCTGTCCATTTTAAAACACATCAATCATATTTCAAAACCAGTATTTTGGTTATCCAAAATTTTGACAGCTTATGGGAGAATAAGAGGCTTTTGGTGGAGAAAAATCATTGAGAAATCGAGGCACTACTTCATTAAGACAAATGAACAGCATGTCACTGTAAAATATGGTCCAGATAGATTTTCTTGTGATTATAAATGCTCTCTTAAAAAAATTAATCATTTTTAGATGATCCATGCTATGCTTTTCACAATTTAGTTTATTATATGCTTCCGGCAATGATTATGATATCCCATCTTGGTGCCTATTCCAAGCCTGAGATTAAATCACACCCATCAGCTTCGGTGAATTGTATGAATACTTCAGATTTGCTTTTGAACACAAAAACTCTCAGACAAAGCTAGATAGTAACTGTACTTGATTTTCTTAAAATCACGAACTTACACAAGAAAAAATAGAACTTAGAGCAATAAACTAGTTAAGTAAGCACGCAGACTACATGGATAATTACGTGAATCCAACAGCACGTAGTGGGTATGCGGAGAAGTAACAATTTAATAGCACCTCATATCTCTCAAATTCTTCATGCTACTGTAACTCTCCCCAGTGGATAATTAAGGTAATCATGACATGACAAATGACCTAAGTATGATTTTCAGATATGAAAAACATGAGGAGAATAAGTTTTTCGCTTAACCTGGGGATAAAAGAAAAGAAAGGATCAACGTACTGGTATTGAACTGCAGACTTTAGCTCGTCCACTGCTGAAGAAGTTTGAGCTTCCAAAATTGACAGCTCTTCGTCCATTATCATCTCATTGTCGACAGCGACGTCGTCACCAATCCCTATTCTGCACAAGCGCTTCGCACGCACCAGTGATTCTCTTCTTTCCTTTCCCACTGTAACCGCATGCTGTCGTCTTCGACGAGCCGCAACATTCCCAACTGAAAACAGAATACAGATGCATTCTCTGCATCAGTTACGAACAAAGTTCATAAAAATCAACATGAAAATAAAACCAATATCCATCTCGCACAGCCCTACTGCAAATGATGATAAACCAAAATCCATCGCCCAAAATATCATTCAAATAAGTCGAACTATATTCTTCAGGAAATAGATACAGTTAAACTTCTAATCCCCTCTATCTTCACTGAGCATCCAGGGAGCAAGCTAACTTGTCATACGCAACTGCACCGAATTTAGTCATCGGCTTACAGCATCAACAATATTTCCTCATATTCGAACTCACAGCGGCAAGAAATCAATCTGAATTTAAATATTGCAACCAATCAAAGAAAATATATCCAAGAGAGTAAAAGAATGCACCCGAAGACTTGATTGGGTCTCTTCTTTGAGAAGCCAAGCTATCGTCAGCCATTGTAGGGATGAATTCAGAGCAGAGGAAGCTAATGGATTGGAACTTTATCGAACTGTGACGCAATCGGAGAAATCCGAATGGAATTTTCGCCGGCCAGGTATCAAATGTCTGCCGATTGCCGCCTCCATTTTCTTTGTTCCTGCAATTACCGAAATTATAAATGTCTCCCCATGAGATTTGGTATTTAGATTTGGTACTGAAAATTTGTGATTTTATCCATTTTTTCTTTTCTTTATTTTTTTTCCCTTTTTCTTTAGCAAATCGCAAAATATTTTCTCAAAGTAAATAAATAAGTAATAATAACAAAACTATAACTTTTAAATTTAGGGGGGAAATTGAGAAAATGACTCGAAAAAAGTTACTGCAATCACATTTTTTAACTTGTAAAATTTTGCAGATATAATTATGTTAGTTGCAAATACCAATATACTTGAATTTGAGAATAGTAGAAATTAAATCTTAAATCACTTATTTTTTTCTTTTTATGTTATCTGTTTTTGATATAACTAACTTGACGAGTGGAAAAATATGTCTTGATCAGTTATAGTTGTTACAAGTATACATTCAAATAAATTGACCATGATTAAAAGTTTTGAAATTATAAGGATCCACTCGAAAATGCTCTATATTATAAAAATTTAATCACCGTTACATCCTTCAAGGTTTCAACTCCATTTCAAGTTTGCCACTAAAAAATTAAATATGCTATTATGGTCCTTGAGGTATGAGTTTTATAGATCGATAATTATATTGGAAATTGAGTTGGGTAAAAGGTTTGGTTGAACGAAAATATTATTAAAAAAAAAAAGGTTAGTGCAAGCTGAAAAGTTCTACCTAAACTCATTCATTTTTTTCACAACTCTATTTCACTTTACTCGTAAATCGACCCTACTTTTATCTATTTTTAGCCCACTTTAAGTTCTGGTACAGATACCAACGTTACTATGTATTCATTTATAATATCTCTTTATCTTGCTTAAAGAATATATATGTTAGACAACAACACCAAAATACTTAAACTGCACTACAGTATGTTGAAATTTTTAAAATCGTCGATACTCTAACAATCTTTAAAGATCACAAGCATCAAATTATCCTCAATTAAACCATAAAGACTAAAATAGTAGGTTCTAAAACAAAATGATATGGATAATGAAAAAAACTAATTAATATCTATTCATTTGTTGTTAACTACTATAAAAAAGTAAATTGACCAAACAACACTAAATACTAAATTCAAATGCATCTTATATTCCAATCCCAATTTTACCTACATTTTAGTGTCGGGTTCAGTTTCGTTAATCGCGAAGGAAACTCTGGCGCGCATACGTTGGTTCGGATGGGCATGGTTTCCGAGTCCTTCCGCGTCTGGGTTGAGGAGTGGCCGCCGGATCTTTCTGAAGTTATTGCTACAGATCGTCAAGGTGTTTTAATTTAATTAGTTTCCTTGGTTTTAGTTTTTTGGTTGTTCTGTTTCTTCTTTCTTCGCTTTCTGTTGGTTTGTGTACTGTGTATCTCAAAAAAACAAAAACTCCCAAACTATTTTAAAAAATAATGTCTTTGGAAATTGTAGGTCGTTTAAGAGACGATCTATGCCACCTCACACTTCCCTAGTTGTATGAGGGCGTGTTATGTGGGTTTTTTTTCTTTTTAAATTCTGACATGTCATCAAGAGACATATGTAAAATAATAATAGTGTTTGATATTTTGCTACAATGTTTGTTTCCTTATTTTTTATTCTAGATGTTCTGGATTCAAGTCTCAATTATGTCACTTTTCATTTTTATATTGCAAATTATTTTCTCTTTTAAATAAATTTTACCTATTCAAATTTATCTTCTATTAAAATTTATTTTCTCTTCTAAAACAAAATAACAACGGATTCTAAAAATAAACAACAATAATTACAATTATAAAAAACTGTAATTAATTATTTCTACTTTTAAATTATAATTACTACATTAATATAATTCATTTCATTTACTTAATTCGTAAAATAAAATCTATCTTTTTTTAAACAATATATTTTTATTCATAATTTCTTTTTAGAATTAGCAGTTGTTTTGATAATATAATTTTAATAGTAATTAATTTGGTAAGGAAACAACCACTGTGGCAGAGTATCAATATTATTATTGTTTTGCATATGTTGTCTTTTGAAGAGACGACATGCCAGAATAAGAAAAATATATATATATATGGCGCCAGCAAGACGCTATGCAACTAGGGAAGCGTGAGGTGGCATAGGTCGTCTATTAGACGACATATAATTTTCAAAGCATTATTTTTTAAAATAGCTTGGGAGTTGATATATATTTGTAATAAGTTTCCAAGGAAGTAGTATTAAAAAAATAAAATATTGTTTTAATATATCAAAAATAATATTTAAGCCAACATAACTCAATGAGTTAAGGTACCTGTAAACAACCAAAATGTCGTGAGTTCGAATCCTGACCTCAACATTTTGTACTTAAAAAACAATATTTAAAATTGATTGACATGTCATTATATATATATACACAAATAAATTTTATTTTCAAATTAAAATATGAAATACAAAATAAAGTAAAGCAAATTGACTTTATATGAAAATAATATTTTTGTAATTGAAAAAATAAAATAAAAGTAAAATGAATAGACAAAAACCATCCCTTTTTAAAAATATAGTAAAAAATAAACGGATCAAAAAATATATTTTGAAAGTAGAAGTCTAAAAAGTATACGTCAAAAATAGTATTTTTATTAAATTTGTGAGCCACGTTTGTCAAAGATTTGTTTGTGTTGAACCCCTTCTAAATTATTGATATTAAATATCGTCTTCTTTTTGGCGGAGTCTCTCGTCTCTTCGGTGTTAAGATTTCTGAAGAAACCGCAAGCATTTCTTGCTCGTCCACGGCTTCAAATTTCCATCGCAAATTTGTACTTTGATTATCTTTGTCGCGAATAAAAATTATAGTTTCTCTTCACCAAATCAATCCGATTTCCCTTGATCTCACGCATCCAAATTCGTTTCGTCTCAGATCTGTTTGTTGTTGATCACTCCATCCAGTTCCCTCGGAGAATTTTATTGATTTGTGATCCGCTAAGCGCTGATTTCAACCGAAAATTCTCCCTCTTCCGTTTCCATGGCGGCGGCACCACTCAAGGCGGTGTCCTTAACCCATGTCCGATACCAGAGGGGAGATCAGCTCGGCCATTTCTTGGCCTGGGTTTCTTTGGTTCCCGTCTTCATTAGCCTCGGCGGATTTCTCTCTCACTTCATCTTCCGCCGCGAACTTCAGGGCATGTTCTTCGCGCTAGGGCTCGTAATCTCCCAATTCATAAACGAGTTCATCAAGACGTCTGTCCAGCAAGCGCGCCCCGAGACGTGTGTTCTGTTGGAAATGTGCGATTCGCATGGTTGGCCCTCTAGCCATTCTCAGTATATGTTCTTCTTCGCCGTATACTTCACTCTTTTGACGTATAAAGGGATTGGGCTATGGGGTCCAGAAGCCAAGTGGGTAATGGAGATCGTGGCTTGGTCTCTGGCTTTACTGACGATGTATTCGAGGGTGTATTTGGGATACCATACTGTTGCACAGGTTTTTGCTGGAGCTACACTCGGTATGTTTCTTGGAGCTTTATGGTTCTGGGTCGTCAATTATGTGCTTTTCTGCTACTTCCCGGCTATAGAAGAGAGTCGGTTTGGCAGGATGTTCTACATTAAGGACACTTCTCATATAAGCAATGTTTTGAAGTTTGAGTATGATAATGCAAGAGCTGCTAGAGAAAAGTTGGATTGTAAGTGCGATTGATCGACTGGGATCTGATACATGAGAAGGTATGTCTCTCTCTCAATCTTAAAACAGAAATTGGAAGTTGTGCTGTAATTTGATATTGCTTAATTGCGCATGCTTTGTTTAATTCAATGATAATCATATCTCATAGTTTCCTGAATACTCATTGGTTTTGATATGATATAAACCTTAATTTGATATGATATTGAATGTTTTATGCTAGCAATTCTTTTAGAGAAGTTTTGAAGGTGATACCAAAGGAGATAAAGTAGCAATTTGTAGTCATTAGACCCATTATGATGGACATAGTATTTTGTGAAACCTTGGCAAGCATGAAGGTTGCTTCACTCGCAGTTTCTGGAATCTTAAGTGGAATTTCTTTTCTGCGTGATCTTTGTGAAGTTCTAAAAATTAATGAAACAGTAAACTTTCTGAGGTCTGACTAATTATTCTTGAACAGTTGCTCCTGGGCATTTTGTTTCCACATAATGAATCAAATATGACTGAAACTTATCTTGCATAATGGATCTTCTTGATTTTGATGTATTTTTTGTGGGGGTTGATTTCTTAGGCCTTAGCCACGTGTTATTCTTTTGGATTGGAGCCCGTTTCTTTAGGAGGTTTCCTCTTGTAGGGCTATCTTGCCCTTGTATATTCTTTTTTTCATATCTCTCAATGAAAGCTTGGTTTCTTATTAGAAAAAAAATTTTCAAAGTATCCAATTAATCAGCCATTGTTTTCATTTAGCCAAATTTGTTTACATAATCGAACAACATTGAAGTTAGCTTTTTAAATACAGTCTTCCTACTACTTGGATCTCATTTATCCATTTCTTTACAGCCAGTGTATAAACTTGGAACTTCATTCATCCAAGCTAGATTTTTAACGTCATCTATATGTTTATATTATTTCTGCGAGTCTTCTTTTTCTACTATCTTCTGGAAGGCTAGAAGCATGCAAATAACAATACTGAAAAGACAATTTATAGTTCTCAATCCGTTCTTGTTTCTGGTTTTCTGATTGGCTGCTTGTGCATTATCTTTGTTTCTGTTTCAAGGGTTTGAGAGTACACCTCGATGCACGTCTTTTTAATGGTTCTTGAGCTTTGAGGAATGCTAATATTTCAGTTTAGACTATGTACCGATAGAAGGATCGTTTAGAGGTAAATTATGTTAATATGGATTTTGGTTGTTTCTGCACTCCATGGCAGCTATCTTCTGGAAGGATAAGAGATCGCATGCCCTTAATTTTTTTGTCATCCTGGAGTCAAGTGAGGACTTACAAATATTTGAAGCTTGAAATTGGGTAGAAATTGATGTCAATCCACCTGTGACTCAGTCTTACTACGTAGGAAGAAGAAAGATATTAGAAGAATAAATTTCTCAAGTATTGAGTTTTGGCGAAGTACACTTATTTCAAACCCATGTCTCATATTTGGTGGGAATGGAATACGTTGTCCACTGCTGTCAAAGGTTGTTCCGCAGTCGTTTGGTTGCTAATACATGTGCATGTCTGGGTTCTCTTTTAATTCGTGTTTTTGGAGATGGGATCTTCACATAAAATATGCAAAGGATCTAGAGTTGTATTTTTCCATTCCCTTGCGATTTATGATTTATCGATCTAGGAAGTTTGTGCTTTGATTTTTTTTTTTTTAACAGGGTATAAACTTTTCATTGATGTGAATTTGTGCTTTGATCTTAATCTTTTTGAAATCTGTTTTCCTCGTGCCATCCCAGATTGCCACCTATGTAGGATATAAATACCTAAGTTTTTCGATGTCAAACATGTAAGAAGGAGAAGAAATCTCAAGCTGTGATCTAAATACCTACTCTAATCAAAAAGAGAGATAAGAGAGACCAGAGACAGTTTCATGTTGAAGCGTTTTGATTATCAACAGCTGAAATTTCTGTCCTGCTATCTCATATTTCGGGTCAATTTATCGGGTTTATATCTCTGTTTTTGTTCCAGGAGAACCAAGCTGAATGCTGTTGAAAATGGCCTTGCCCACCTGGTTAGGGAAAAAACACTGCAAAGAAACCAGCTTGCAAAGGGATCAGTTCTCTATTGTAGATTTGCATACTGAAGAGAGCTTACTTGCTGCTGATATTCACTGCCCATATACAGCCTTAATAGGTAGAAACTTGATTATCAAATACTTTGATATATAAACCTAGTTTAAAATGGTCTCATTTGGATAGGGAACTCTCTCTACTTAAATAGATCTAATTTAATTTCTTCTTTGATTGGATTATATGGCATGTGAAATTGGAATTTACTAGCTGGATTGAATGTTCTACAAGTCTTTGTTTCTTAGTTTCATTCTTTTTGTTTCGTTATTATTTTCCTGGTACTTTCAGCTTTGGTTTATTTTGGTACCTGTTTTTTCAAAACGTTCATTTTGGTTCTTATACTTTCAATTTTTGTTCATTTTAGTCCATATACTTTTAAAAAGTTCGTTTTAATTATGCACTTTTAACAAGTGACTATTTTGATATTTTATTTGATTAAAATTTTAGCGTAATATTTCCCCTACTAAATTTCTTGAAAGGTAATCATAAATTTGTATAAAGAAGTTTCTATTGTATATAAATTTTACAAATAAAGATCCAAATAAAAATACACGGACCAAAATGAACGTTTTGAGAGTATGATGACTAAAATAAACAAAAATTTAAATTATAAGGCCAAAACGAAAAAGTAAACCAAATTAGTATTCAAACTTTTTAATTTTCTTGTGTAATTTTTCTAACTTTATTTTGCTTTAAACTTCCTCACATATTATATTTTGGTTATTGGAGTTGTTTAAGACATTAGGCAAATTTTGTATGAAAGTGTCAACAAATTTTTTTTTTTGTATGAAAAATAAATCCAGAAATATTTTACAAATGTGGACGAGAGGAGAAATTCAAAGTTTTTCACGTACCTCAATAAGTGACAATCTCTACAATGAGCTTAATTAGCGTTGAACAGGGACGACAAGTGTGTATAAAGGCCAAAGTTTTAAATCATCGATGAAAATATCGATATCGATGAATATTTTTTGAAAGATTTTAAAAATAAAAATTTAGTTAAAAATATTTAAATGAGCAAATAAGCATTTCACCATTTTTAAATAAGTTAAAAATTATTAATATTAATATCGTGGGAGCGACGAAAGTGAATATTAGTAGAGATTAATATTAATATTATGTCTATATTATTGATATTTTTTATATTTTGTTGATTTTTTTTACATTACTATAGGAATGTTGATGTCAAACCCATGAATATATGAAAATGTCTACAAGTTGACCGATGTTTAATATTTAATACTCTGGGGCTTAAATTTTTAAAAATTGAAAGATATATATCAAACTCTGGGCCTTATGGGCCGAAACTGTCAATTCGTTTGACTCAAGTAAGGCCCAACTTATATGGGCCGTAGGAAGTAACCCAGCCCATCACAACGGCCCATGAAATTCAAAAAAGGTCGATTTGCAGTTTCACGGTGTGGGGACGCAGCTTTAAAGCGGGAAGCATGTGACAGATTCCACCGGAACTTTTTCCAAATCAGTACGTTCGAGGTGTCACGGTGGCAGTGGCCATCGCACGGCGGAGCTCTACCGCACCGAAAACCCAGTTCTCCAATACCATCTTCTCTCTCTCTCTCTCTTCAGGCTCGCGGTTCTGTTTTTCTTTTTCGATTTCGATGTGGCAGGTTCTACTGGCGGCGGCGGCGGCCGGATCCACCGGACTAGTCGCAAAGCACATTTGGAGCTCCGGTGCTAACCCTAACGACACTTCAGTTACAGAAAAGTCGAAGGAGTGTGATGAGAGTTGCGGAGATCAAGAGGAACCTGATGACATTTTGAAGTTCGAGGCTCCGATCGATACTAAATTGGAGTCCCCGATGGTCTCGAATGGTCTGAATGCGACTGCAAATGAGGGGATTTTTAGGTTTTCGAGTTCGGGTTCTCGTGGGGCGACGAGCTCTCGACTTGGATCGAAGAATTTGCGGAAGAAAACAAGGAGTCGGTGGCGTGGGGCGGGAAAAGAAGCTGGGGGTAAAAATTTTGAAGCGGGGAATTGTGCCAGAGAATTGGTGATGGAGCAAAAAAGGAGTTCGGGGAGGTTTTCTATTTGTTTGAAGAAGAGGAGAACTAACAAGAATTTGGGTTCTGCCAAGAGCCAATCCTCCTGCTCTTCCAGTGGTAAGATCATGATGATCACGTGAATTTAAACTCATTTTATTTCTGTTTTGTTCCTCGGATAGAACAGTACCAATAGAGCCATTTTAACTGCTAATGATCCTCATGGCGAACCGTTTCTGTTTCAATACGCTGCTAGGATACAGAATGTGCAGTTTTCTGGACTGTACATCCTGATAATATTTCGCTCGAGATCATATGATATAGGACATTGATGGTGTACCGATTGATTACTTAGGTATGAAAACACGGTTAAATAAGAGGGTTATCTCCGTTTTGAGCGATCTTTTACTATGGAAATGTAGAATTATTCCAGATCGTTGGTTGTCTTGTATCACGAGTTCATGATTGTTTCTGATCTTCAACAGAACTTAGTGTTGTTTGTGGAGCTAATGTGTGGGAACTGCATACGTTGGAGTTCTAGTTGCATGTTGTGGGTTGGGATGATGGAAAATTGATGTTAAGTCATGCAACCTGTGTTCGTGCACTGTGTTCTTTTTCATTTTTTCATGGAGTGTGGAGCCCACTCTTCGCATTATGCTCGTGACCCACTTTCACTATTCCCGAGAGGTTTCGCCCACCCCGTGTCAGCTTTGCAAAGATAGTAAGAACTCTAAGTTATCGAGTCTTTAACCTTGGACTCTAAACATCACAATCCCAAGCCTGAGGCATGCCTTGGGTATGCTCTGCAATGAATTAAGGAAGGGAACTTGCAGCCTTTGTATTTTTTAGATTCTCTTACATTTTGGCACGTTGAGCATTTAAATTTAATATCTTGTACAAAAGTCGAACTTTACTGTGCCTAATTATGTTTAAATCTGTCATAAGGTACCTTTCTGTTGGTATTTACACGTGAAATAGTTACCAAATCTTATGCATGATAATTATGAACGGTGATCGTTAACCGAGGAACTTGTAGAACTAGCATGTTAACTGTTTCCAGTTTGTTAATTTAACAAGAGTTCCCTTTTAATTCGTCTTGCTTCTATGAATCGATCATCTTTGGCTACTATTCATGTGTGGCATTTATATGCCTTTCAGATGGCTCTTTATTTCATTGGGGACTTGGTGTTGGGATTATGTACATGATGTCAGCGGGAAAAGCAGAAATAAATAAGCTGAATGTAACTGTGGACGAGACTGCAAAAGTTGTTCAAGAATTAAAATCAGAACTTTACAAGAGAAAATATTCGCGTCATGTGCAGGATGGCAAAGCTAGAGAAAACTCTGACATAAGTGGCTGCAATAAAACTCAACTTGAAATTGACCGATCGAGTGCAGAGTTCAGGCGATCAAGCGAGGTTAGACATCACACACTTTCTATGTTTGATGATGGGGAATGTGAAAGCAGTGTCCTCACTGAAGAGCCAGACCTAGAGATGCATGAATTGGATCAACTCGAAGCAGAGCTCGCTACTGAATTGAAAAAAATACCATGGTGTACAGCAGAATATTCTTACCAAGCGGGAAGTGTAACAAACCTGGATAAGGTGGTAGTTTTTCCGGTTACACGCTCACATTTGTTTCAGATGCTTTTATTTTCAACTATCATACATTTACTTATTGCTAATATCATCTCCATACTAATGGTGGATGATTAATTTGAAACGCAGAAACTAGAAAAGTTTAGAACTCTCAAGCAGATCTTGACGAATAACTGATAGTGGAACTAGTTTCAACAATTGCTACGTAATGAATCCATCTATCTTACGCTAACTTGATTTAAATTTGTAGCTTCCCTGCCAAGCATCGCAGGCCAAGGTTTCATCTATTGAATTACATGGTCCAGAAAACTCGGAATCTCATAAGCATCTATCACATGGAGTAGTTCCGGCCGAACTAGATCAGAAACTGTGCCATTTGCTTATTGAACAGCAGGAGAATCAAATTGTGGAGTTGGAATCTGAACTGCAAGTTGCTCAATCCAAGCTTAATGAGAAAGAATCCGAACTTCAAGCCTTGAAGGACTGCGTCAGACGCCTTACCGAGTTCTCTCTTTCGACCGTCTCAGGCAAGATTACATTTAACCACCACTCCTTTTATTAGCATCGATTACAATCACATATTTTTTACTATATTTGCTTGCCTGAACTGCTTTTCCAATCGAAAATCTCTAACGTGCCGCAGTATTTGATCCCAGATGATGAAGCTGAAGAACATACTGAGAAGAAGCAGAACCAGATGGGCTGTGAGGCAATGAGATCAGTAGTAGTGGGGATGAAAAGACCCATTGAATCTGAATTCATGGGTTGTGGTGTATGATGATAGAATCATAGAAAAGCTGACATAAAATAAGTTAGAAAGCCTGMCAGATCTTTAACTTGCTTCCATAACTGGCTCAATCACGCATGAAAATGTAGAATCTCTCACAAAACTGCTTCTGTGAATCTGTGATTGAATATATTATGTAATATTATATTTAAACACACGAGATTTAGAGCTTGAAGTTCACTGAATGATTCCCTGTTGACTTTGTTAGCCCCACCAGAATGGAAGCCAGCAATGTAAGTTGACCTTCTGTCTTCTTGTCGGCAGGGTGAAATTACTACTTTGTCCAAATTCCATTTTCAAAAATTTCCCAATCATACTGAAGGATGATGGCTTAAAAGGCAACATCTTTTGGTGGGGTTTTGGAAAGGAAGTTGTAGATCTTTTCCAATACTTAAAAAAAAAAGTGGTTTCTTTGTTTTCTTTTTATTGTTTTTTCCCCTTTGAAGTGTTTTGCACTCTCTTTATATGATTTGACGATATTGGCATTTGGCTTTGTCGAGGTTGGAGATGGAGGAGACAGTGACATGCTGAGCTGGAATTTGTTTGACACGTGTGCTTGCTTACTCTCTAGAAGGGGGAATTTCATCTTCATGTATAAAAGGTATGTTGTTTTTGTGCTAAAAGTTGCTTATTGTCGACTTTATTATTTATTCCGGAAATTTGGTGATACTGTTGGTCTTGTCTTTTGAGTTTTATTTATTGTTTTGTCACATTATAGATTGATTAATTTTGTATTTTACTTTTAAATGATGGATAGTGAAACAAGATTCGTCGTTAGGTCCTTCAAATCTTTGATCAAAACATATTATCATGTTCAGTAAAGTTGAATTAGAACACTTGGAGTTCTGTAGAATCAATTCTTGTATGTTTTTCTTAGGGATAATTGCAAATCACAATGTGGTTTATTATTATGTTGCAAGTCCTGCCTTGTGTTTTTTTTAAATGCCCGTTTGGTGACATTAATGTTTCTCTTTTTAATTTTTCAATCAATAAAAAGCTGAATGCGTTTGATAATCGTTTTTCTTGCTCTTTCCTTTTTATGGAAAAAAAAGGAACCGAAACATATTTGGTAATCAAGAATGTTCTCTGAAATTGTAACTTGAAAAAAAAAAGTAAAATTTTTATATAAAGATTAAAATTTCAAATTAAATATACTAGTTTTTTTATGTTATATTTATTAGGCAATTTATAAGTCAAAATGATAAAATAATGTTTTTATCTATGTTTTGGAAAAAATTGAATCCACAAGAAGAAACAAGAAACATGATTTTATTGTTTCTAAAATTTCTATGTAATTTTGGAAACCTTTCTTGAAATTTAAAAATGAGGAAGGAGGACAATTACGAGATATTTATGTTTTTTAAAATTTTGAAATTGAGAAACAAAAATGAGTCCGAAATGATTTTTGTTACAAAAATTTTAGAAACATGCTATTTTGTTAAAATTTATCATTAATTTTAATGAATTCAATACATGTTACTTATTCTAATGGGTCAAATATAATACTTTTGGCCGAAATAACATAAAAGAGGGGTATAATGTTCCAATTTATAGACCATAGGGATGCTTGAAACCATTTTTAAAAAATAGGACATGATCATAAGAGTGTAATTTATAATTAATCTGGTTTTTAAAGTAAAAAATACGTAATTGAAAGGTTAAGAACTTTAAAGTCAAGAAAAGAAAGGGTGGTTTTCTAAGAAAAAAAAAGGTAAAGTTCTTACACTTCTAAAATTTTTTACCCCACCCAAAAGCTTCCTTCTGGCTGCCCAAAATCGTGCATTTTAAGCCTAATTTTTAGGTTAATAACTTATCATTATTGAGAGATACCAATTCAAACATAACTTAACTGAATTAAGACATCTATTACCATTATTAAAGTTAATAGTAGATGTCCTAGAAAATAAAAAACAAACAAACTTTTAGAGTAAGGTATATAGATTGAAATTAACCAAATAGAAAATAAAATATTGTTATTTAATATTTCTTGAAATAATTCAATCAATGGGGAGATCTAATGATTATAAAGTTTAGAAAGTGGGAAACCTTATCCCATATCAAAACAAAAAACAAAATCCTCTTAAAAAAAAAAGAGACACAAAACAAAACAAAACAAAACCAGCCAAAATCCAAAACAAAAACCCACTTCTCTATTTTATGGACTACACTGTGTTCTTTGTCACATCATCATCAATGCCTCGACCTAATTTATCATCATCCCATAACTAACTTTTTTTTTTCTCTAATTCCTATTATTCCTTCCCCTACCTAACTCCTTGATTTCATTTCGGTTTAACTACCATTTTGATAGTTATAATTTTGACTGTCTATTTTAGTTTATATTCTTTCGATTTTTATATTTTTAGTCCCTATACTTTTGAAATGTTCGTGTTAGGTCTATTTTTCTTTAAATTATTTTCATCTCTTTTATTTTGATCAAAATTTTAGTTTTAGCACGACACTTTCACTTACTATTTGAAACAAATCTATACTTTTGTATTAAAATATTTTTATTGTGTGTAAAACTTGTGTTGAAATTTTGCAAATAAGGACTCAAATGATCAATTTTTAAGAGTACAAGAACTAAAATTAACGTTGTTTCAAAAAAAAAAAAACTAAAACTAACATTTTAAAATTAATTTAGAAGTACGAGAACTAAAATGACAATTTTAAAGGTAAAGTGACCAAAACTAACGTTCTTTTTTTTTATTATTCTATTGGAAGTCACTAGTGTTTATAAAGGAAAATTTTCAAATTTTACTCCTGTATTTTGTTGGATGAGTTGGTACTTTTTATCTGTGAATACATGATGTGCTCATAGTCATGACCAACTTAAATTTGAATAAATTATGCCATAAAAAAATAAAGAGAGAATTAATTTTTAAAAAAGAATCGGCATAACAAAATATATAAAGTATTATTGACAAATGTCAAAACATCTCAGATGTATCTAAAAAAATAACACCCAAATACCATCATAAAAATAAAAACATTAAAAAAATGACAGTAAAAAGCAAACAGTAATAAATATACAAAGTTGACATCAAAATAGTTTCAGTAAAGTAAAAATAAAAAATGGGAATAATATCTAGCACTAACAATATAGACAAAATTAGTCTTGTCAAACACAAAAATGCTTATTTCTATAACTTTTCCTCCTTTTTATTTTAGAATATGACATCATAAATGTCTAATCAAACTATATTTATAGAAAATGTTACTAATATTTTAACAGTTGAGTTATACTCTAAAGTTAATATTATCACAATGTTATCTTGATTTTTCTCGAACATTTTAAATTACATTATTCTGCTTTTAAATAATTTTATGACAACTTTGCGWATCTGAGCAGTTTGAACTAAAGCAAAATTAGGACTAAGATGTTAATTAACTTAATGTTTTTCTTGTGCAATTAATTGATGTATCTATTTACTATTTTTTCAGCATTAAATCACTACACAGAAGTAGAATATTAAAGTTCATTTATTCAGCAAAAGGCAAAACAAATTATTAAATATTAACAAAGACCAAAACGGCTACATATGTTTACGTTTATTAAACATAAGAAAATATATTTAGTCAGATGTACAACAAATATAAAAATAAATAATAATAAAAATAAACCTTGTGAAATTACCCAAATAACCCCATACAGACACAAGCTTATAATCTTAAAATATATAAAAAAAAATATCTGCAGTCGATTCACCATCCGTGCACTCACACACGTATATATATATATACACAAAACAAATATTTTCCCGAAAAAATAAAAAAGGAACTCAGAAATTTCTATAGCGAACGAAAATCTTCGGCACTTACCAGTGGAGAAAACGGCCGGAAACCTCCGATCTCGACGGCGGCGGCAGAAGAATTGATCTAATTCCTACGGCGGAGCTTTAGCAGAATTGTTTTGAAGAGCGATTGAAGAAGAGGGACTACTAGGATTTGGAAAATGAAGCCGTCGGCGAAGCCGATATCGAGCCCTGGCCGGACGGAGAAATTTCCGCCGCCGTTGATGAGGTTTTTGAGGAGCAATGTGGGGAGCAAGAGCAGAGGGCGGTCGCGTTCGAGCCCGATGATGTTCATGAGAAAGAAGAACGCCGCCGCCGCCGCCGCCATTGAAACGCAGGAGCCCTCCTCCCCCAAGGTCACCTGCATCGGCCAAGTCCGAGTCCGCCGCTCATCCACGCGCCGTCGAAGCCGCCGTTCAGGAGTCCCCACGCGCCGCCGCTGCCGCTGGATCCGAGCTGCTCTGTTTTGCCCCTGTTTTCGGAGGAAATCCAAACCCAATTCTTCTCCGACGGTTTTTCAGAGATGGGTCTCGTTTTTCGGGTTCCGCCGAAAACCCAAAATCAGGAAGAATTCGCCACCGCGTGAAACCGACTTCCATGGCGGCGTTAAAAATTCCGACCAAAACTCAGACCCAGAAACCGAAGTCGCGGTCGCCGCCGTGGACGACGATGAAAAAACAGCGAAAGTGTTAATTTCTTCCGATTGTTCGCCGCCGAAAAACGCATTGTTACTAACGAGATGCAGATCCGCTCCATATCGATCGACATCATTAGCCAGTAGATTTTGGGGCTCTCCGATGAGAAACGAGGAAAATCAGGAGGAGGAAGAACAGAGCACGAAGCCCAACAATGGCGGAAAAACGGTGGGGATTGAGAAACCCACATCCCAAAGAGCCTCAGTTTCGGATCAAGATCCAAGTGGGGGCCTAGAATTCGAGGAGGACGAGGAATTCGTGAAGAACATTGAGGATTCAATCAGAGAAAGAATCATCAAATCGGCCAGTGTCGAACGGATAAAAACAGGGGAAGAGGAAGGGCCCGGTAGCTCATCGCGGCCGTTGATTCTCACACGGTGCAAATCTGAGCCGTCGAGAACGGCGGAGAAGATGAACCCAGAAGTCGGATTCTGGAAAAAGAGAAGGTTGGGGATTCCTGATTCATGCTTACCAAACAATTTATAAATTAAAAAAATAAAAGAGCACTCTTAAATTCAAATCTCAATCCCATTACTGTTCCAATTCTTTTTTCTTTTTTACCTTCACTATTGAAAGATTATTTCTTTTTCTTTTTGGGTTTTGTGTAAATTTTCTCGTCTTTGAAGCTGTGGGAGAGAATCTCCATGGCTTCATTCCCAACTGATGAAACTGTGAAATTTTGTTAATGGGTTTTGTTCATTTTCTCTGTGCTCCATAAATCCAAAGCTTCTGTAATTAATGTTTCTCTCTCTTCTGTGAGTACATGAACATGCATAGCCATGGCATTTATTTGCACTTTTCAGACAGACCCAACAACTTTTGGGGCTGTTTATCAAAAAGATGGGATTGGAAATTGAATTAAATGGTTTTTTCTTTTTTTTGGTTATTTTATTTCTTACAAGTTGTTGTAACTTCTAGGAGTGATGGAATGGGGGATTAAGTAAAAGCATCTTTGGATACTCTGACTGAATTTTATTTTATTATAAATATTATATATTTTTTGTAATATTTGAGTGGAAAATTTTTGTGTAGTGGTCAGAAGACCCACCCCGCCCTTTTATTACATTTTTCATTGGTTTCCTTCACATGTCCTGTCTGCTTTCTTCTTCTTCACTCAAACTCCATTTTTCACCTCTTCCGCTCTTTTGGACTTTGAATTTCAATTATCAATTCACTATCAAATCATATAATTTACTTTAAAACCGAATTCAATTTTGGTTAGATTTATGATTTTATCCCTCGGTAGGTCGATGTTTTCGATCAACTTGTTAAGTTATATATTTTTTACTAAAAAGCGAAAGGTTCGAACCTTCACCTCACATGTTAAAAAGAAAATTATTTTCAAAGTTTTTGATAAATATGTCCAACTTAACCTAAAGTACCTCGTACTCAATTACCAAAATGCATCCAATGATTTGATGTAAGAGCTAATTCATCAAAATGTTTAATAAGATAAAATGTAAATTCAATATTAAGAATGGAATTTAAAAGTAGCAGAAGCAAAGGGAAGAAAGGATACATTCAACCTATGATTTTGCTATATAATGTTCTAAACTTCACAATTTAGACACTATCTCACCCGATATTTGTTGTACTAAAAACAAACAGATACATAAGTTCATCTCATTACACTGGCTATTGGTTAAAAGTCGGAGGTTTAAATTTTAATCCCGGCTCTTGTTTAAACTCGTAAAGTAAACAAAAAAAAGTTCATCTCATTTCCACTTAGAAAAGACAATGACAATATATATACAAAACAAACAGGAGAATTTAGTCGCCCATCTAACATTCCAACAAAAACAAATGCATAGAACCTAAATTTAAAGACAGGCACTGTGACTTTACCACAAGTAATGTTAAAAGCAAGAAGGACTGCTTTTGGGCATATAAAAAGGCACTGAATTGCCTGTGGAAGTATGGCAATACAAGGAAGCAACTTAGCTACAAGCCAACATAATATTAATAACAATAGGAAAAAGTTGTAAAAGCTGAGTGTTTTATATCAGAATTGGCTGTTTGGACAGAATGCGCAATTATGTTGATCGAGACTTGAAAACAATGCATCCCACAAAAATGCACAAGGAGACAAGATAACTTACTTGGCTTCTGGAAAAGGGTAGCTTTTTTTCTTGGCTTCAATGTTCTCCAGTGTTCCACGTGATTCAAATAAGCAATGGCCCCCAGAAGAACATGTCTTTTCCCTAGTTGACTAAATGATTCTTGTGACAAATTTATGAGTGTCTCGCTTCTAAGTTCAAATCCAACACAGAGTTAGACACATCACTCAACTCAACCATGCAATCTCTTTCTCTCTCTAGAGTCTAGAATCTAACCCACCATTTATTGAGAGATTAAAGTGAAGTTCCATGAAAAGAAAAGAGATTCTACTAGTAAAAAGACTGAGTTAAGGCTGTTTAAAGATGGAGAAACAAAAATCTTCATGGTGTGGTGTGTAGCAAAAACAGGGGAATAAGTAGAAAAGAGTCAATGGCACCTTGAGAAGAGAGCCCATGTAATGAGTTAAATAAGAACTCATAAATCATAATCAAGTTCGATTTCTGAAGAGGTAATAAAGACAGCAGATAAAAAGAAATAACTGTGACAACTTTCTCTGGTCAGTCTATGTAGGAAAATTTTGAAAATGAAAACGTTCTACAGAGAAGGAAACCTTGGGAAGATAATTTTCTTTACTCTCCAGGTGCAGAGACTCCTTGCTTCAGTCTTTCCTTCCTCATCTTCTTTTTAGATACTGGCTTTTTCTTCTTGGGAGGGAGATTCTTCTGTGCATACAAGTAAAGTGCATAGTTCCCTACAAGGAAAATCAGCAGCAACCCACCAACAAGCAGCAGTACTATCAGCCCTGGATTGAATCCCTTTGCTTCAACATCATTGATCACATTTCCCTGTTCACTTGCAGGAGCCACAATTAATAAACCATCACGATGAGCTTCAAAAACCGAAGTTGGTGTTTTCAAGGAACACAACCCACCATGTCATATTTTTCATAGGTTCTAAATGATCTAAATCTAATTAGACGCTTTCAGAAATGGAGATCCACATTCAATAGGGAATTAACAAATCAAACATTACAGGCAGATTTGCTGAAATTTATCCTAGTTTGATACCAGGGCATAAAGTGAAATAGCTTATCTTTAACATAATTCTCAAACCACGCCCACATTCATCTGAAATTGGTCCACCACACGAAAAGGTTCGACTATTACCCAAACATCAATGATGAATGCAGATATTTAACAACAGTCTGATTACAAGTTCACAACCCATACGCTGGAAATTTCCCAATTTGAAACGACAATTCGCCTGCACGGATGTTACCCTAGGTTTTTCACCCAGAGACAAATTCAATCCCTAAAATTAAGATTCGCAGGCCCTATAATGCGTGCGCCAAACTATTTTAAGCTCAATTTTTCATTCCCCAGAATTTCAGCCAAAAGAACAAATTCCGATCCGAACCCAACACTCGCCAATTAAATCACCGCCCAACCAGAAAATCAAGCCTTCAGAAAACAACAAAAGAGGAATCTGGACGCAGAAAGATCGATACAAACAAGCAATTTGAAGAAAAAGCGTTGGAACACAGAATAAAAAACGGAATCCAAAAAGCACAGATCTCGTGAAATTGAACGCAGAAAGCAAGAAAACGAGGGGGATTCCTTCGATAATCGTACCTTGGCATTGGATGAAGCCATGATTGCGACTCAAAGCCGGATAGATCGGCCGGCAGGAGGGTCCTGAATATAGGTGATTTGTACGAATCGGAACGGCGGCGAAGCGTTGACGGAAAAAATGTCAGCAAATTGTTAAAGAAATGGGAGATTCATATAAATCAGCCACCTGGTCCACCGCCAGTCCTGCGCTTTCTATGGGCCGCTCTTTCATCGAAATGGGCTCAGATACGTTCATAGTTTTTTCTTTTTCTTTTTTAGATAAATACATATGTAGAATATTTAAAGATTTGTCATTTGTCAAAAATATAATTCTAATAAAAATGACCAAACTATCAATATCCATATATTTTTAATAAATAAATAAAATTCTCTACATTAAAAGTCTAAAATATAGAATTTAAAGTATAATAATAAAACTAATAGAATGATACTTATGGTGGGTAGTTTGAGAACAAACGATTCCTGAAAATTTAGATCCGTAAATATTCATAAGAAGTACATTTGAATCCACCAGAGATCATTTTTGTTTTTTTTTTAAATATTCAAAATCTTCTTAAGATACTCAAAATTTTAATAGGTTTACTTAGTAAACAAATAGAAACCAAAATGATAAGAATGATTTGTGAAATTTGACTAAATTAGAGACCAAGTTAAAATAAAAATTTTAAATTACGATAATAGCATTTGAAATTGAATTGAATCGTCAGAATTAAATTTGTGATTCAACCTTTTAATCTTTTTTAAAATAGCGACCATTTAAACCGTAATGTAAAAACGCATTTTATATTTATCTTTGTGACCACAACGAAGGAAGAAAATTCCAAAGAAAGCATAGATGTTCGCTCATTCCTCATATAATTATTTATTAATTACCTTTTAAATGTAACATTATAGTTCTATTCAAAAGAAATAAAATATATAACATTATAGTGGGATTATGAAATTTTGAAAAATTAATTGATTTTACATTTTTTTTACCGTTATTAACTTTTGAATTTTATTCTTTCACATGGATCAAATCACGATCCACATGTATTTATTTATTTATTTTATTATTATTGTTTTTTAGGAAAGTCCGCTTGTAATATTATTATATATGGAACCATGTTACTTTGTCTTTTTTGAAAAACTTTGGTACTAAATTAGGTTATCTCATATATATATATATATATATATATATATATAATTTTTGCAATGAATCATGTCAAGTACATAGTTTTGATATTATTTGTTGCATAGTGTATCATGTTAAGTATAATGTACATGGAATAGAGATGAAACATAATTTTTCATTTGCCAAATTTTCCTGTCCTTTGGGCCTTAGAGAAGAAGCTCATTGTGGTTTAAGGCCCATTCTGCTTGAAACCAATTTCAAGCCCAAATTAAATGAATATCTATATAGATATATATACATGATGTGTGATTCTAGATGAATTGATGTGTTGACCTAGAATTTTAGGCGGCTCATCGATCAAAACTAGCACCCGTATATGTGTTCAACATACTCCAATACTTAAATTAATATTCAAATTGAAGTAGTTTTTCAGGTGAGATGCTCTCTTGAAGAGAGCATTCTCATCCCAAGAGATTCTCTATTTATAAGAAATATTATGGATGTGATTTGTGGGTCTTAGAGGTCTGTACCCACCATCCGATCGAAGGTGGGATGTGAGCCGTCGAGAGTCGAGGTCCTCTCTTGAAGAGCAACATCTTCGTCCCCTAGCACGTCTTCTGTACGTTTTCTCCTTTGGCCTATGTGGGCTAGATAGCGGCCATGTGATAGGGTGTTCTCAACCCTCAACAATATTATATGTATACTGTTGGGAACGTTGGATTTTTTTTTTAATTCAACAATTGTGATGGTGGGAAATCCAACTATAGACCTTAAGGATGGTGAGAAAGAAAAATATGACATGCCGTGTGGAGAACTAAGAAATATTGAAATGTTAGATCTTTCCCAGAAATAAGCAATGGTGGACCTATGAAACTCGACCAACTATGACTCGATATGCCGAGATAAGAATCCCAATCATCCGATCCATAACCCTATTCTAACAAACTCGCAATGGCCTAATAGAACGGTTATGCAAGCTCCACCACGTGACACCCTATAAATAGAAACGTCACTCCGACGCCATGTATGCAATCTTATTCCTCAACTTGAGACTGGTCTCTTATCAACTTGAGCGTCAAAGTCTCTTTTTCTCTTGTGCATGTTTCTCCTCATCGAAGCTCGCTCCGATAGCTCGACTATACCCGATCTAGTCATCCTCAAATCAGGTCAGATTCTGGTATAAACAACTACTTGTATCCACTTACCTATCGAATTAAAAGGAAACAAAAAGAAAGTTGGATCTAACATTTGAAAAGATGTGTTAAAAAACTCGAAACAACCAACCAAATTCTGATCACCACCAACCCAGAATTGGACTACACATAAATCCAAAGTCCCCTAACAACTGAAACTTTAATTTTGTTCTCTTTTTTCATAGATGATAAAATATTTTAAATTTCCCTCTAATGGAGACAAGATTCCCACTTAAGCAAGCAAGCAAGTGGTTGCATCATTCAATCAAACAATGCCACGTGGCCAATATCCTCAACAGCCTCCACCAAGAGAAAAAAAAAAGTTGTTTCTATTATAATAATAATAATAATCACTGAATTATTAGATATTTGAACCAACCTTATATATAACCATGTTCATAATGCTTGTGTCATTTTTCAAATTTATCCCTAATTAAAAATAATAATTATTTCATCAATACATTTTTCAATCGAATTTATACCATCACTGTTGTAAAAAAAAAATGTTGTTTGAATTTATAATTGTTTATGGTGGTCCATCCAAATATTGTAGAAGGACAAACCAATGCAATAAATATATTCTAGTTAAAGTAACTGATATTGATTTTTTTAGTGCTCCATGAGTACTATTTTGAGATATTTGGAAGTTATGTATAAAATAATTTTTAATTTTTGTCGATAAAATAGACGTTTAGTTAGAATAATGGTTTTGGGGTGAAAAGAACTAGTAAAATATAATTATTAACCGTGCCTTAAAAAAGTTTTAACTATCTTTCCAGTAACATTTAAAAATCAGTGGGAAGCATTAAGAAAAACAAAATCCACTGTTCAAACCATGTTTATTATATTTATATCTGCACTTTTTGTTTTTAAAGAGGCATAAATGATAAATCCACGTAGACATTTATTCGAATGTAATATTAGCATAATTGTAATATTGTTTTAATATGTAATTAAATAACTCGAAAAAAAAAATTGAAACAACAACACAAAAGTTTCATGAAAATTCAAATCTTCTCTAATGACTGATTGATTAAAGTAGAAAGTTCTCATTTTTTTTTTCAACGAAAAAAAAAGATTCATTTTCAATATTCTAATCAATAATTCATCAAATTATATATAAAAAAAACGAAGTTAAATGTCAATAAGATAACTATCACAAACAGAACGTTAGTCATTTTCAATAATCAAGACAAAAGTTACAGAACATGAATTATTTTAATTAGATAGTGTAAAGAACTCATACTTGGATAAAGCTACTAAATTAATTAGTAAAATTGATTGAGATGGACTAATCAACGATGATTATTATTAATTATTAAAAATTAAAAAAAGTATCCATTTGATCCACCCAACCCAATAATCTAACTTACACTAGAATCTCCCCCCTCTAATAATAATAATAATAAATAAATAAACTAAAACCCTAATTAAAAAATAATAATAATAAAAGGAGGTTACTTCTGAAAGCAACCATCCACCACCAACCCCCTAAAAAGAAAATTAAAAGGAAAAAAAAAACAATTAGATAAAAATATGGATCCCACCATGCCTGGTTATTTGTGTCGTACATAAATAAATAAAATGGATAAATATCGAAAATATGTAATAATTAGGTAAATATATATACCGTATGAGTGGATAATGATTCACACGATGGATGGGGCTCCAGCCGTCCGATCATTGAGCGAGATTAAATCCTCGCCATTGAAGCTGTGCTCGGACGAGGAAGTGGAAATGGCGATCATGCCGTTGAGATCGGAGACGCTGTCTTGTAGTGTGAGCAAAAGATGGGCAGTGCTGAAGCTCGTGGA